GTAGTGCTCCCAGTCTTAGTGACAAAGGCAGACGCATTCTACTTCACCCAGACCCTAATATGATTGAGTGGAGATAAGAAAGAAGAAGACAAATAGTACAAATGTGAAATTGTACTGGGATATGGTGAATAAATTAGGTAAAAAGACATCTCCTTATCGTGCAACTGAAAGTTGCTGATGACTTGCACCATCTATCAGAATAAATATCAACTATTCTGTTGATTTTTAATTATTCCAGAATTGGCCAAATACCCATTCTTGATTAATCAATAAAAGCTAACCACGTACGGGTTTCGGGCTGTTGGCCCTCGTCAGTCGTGGTGAAAACTGCCTTTTTCTTGATTTACAAAGAGTTTATCAAAATTCAAAACTATTATAGACGCGTATGATTCTTTTTAAAATTAAACAATTTCTACTGTCCTTACTGCAATGGAAAAATTAATGGGGGGGCCTGGCTCATCAGTGGTAAACCCTCCCAGCGGTTTCGCCAGTTTAATCTACCATACCGCTGTTATATTGCATTTTTGGAACTTCCTTTTATAGTGATACTGATGCTAGACTCTTGGAATGGGTATTTTAGATGAACTATGGACATAAGCTTTTAGGACAGTAGAATTACATATAATTATAAATAAGTGTTTATCATCAAAAAGTTCAAGAACAACTGAAAAAAAAAAGTTTATTATAAACCACAACCTCCCGTAGAAGAACTTTGAAAGCTCGTGGTTTATCTCACTATAATAATATAAACTTCGCTGTTCTTAAACTTTCTGTGTTATTTGCCTAAAGATAGCATTATTTAAAAACAAAGTAGGCATATCCTGACCAGGAGCACATGTGCTTTTCAGACAGCAGAGCGCCATCTGATGGAACAGAAATCAACTAAACATTGATTCAGCCTGTTCCCTGATATTTGGCCAACCCAATTTCTTGATAAATCAAGAAAAGCCATCCACGAACGCGTTTCGCGCTGTTGGCGCTCGTCAGCGTGGAGTAGGCTGTACCACTGCGACCAAAAAGAATTTTGGTCCCAGTGGCTTCTTGATAAACCAAGAAATGGGGGGGGGGGGGGGGGGGGGGGGGGGGCAAAAATGATGATGAAATTTAAGGCCAAAATTGCGTGAATACGCTTAACACATGAGAAAATAATAGAAAAAAAATATAATTATTTAGAAATATGTTTATTGCTACGAAGTCTTCAAATCATAGCGGCTGCAATGGTACGTTGAAGGTCATACTAGACGAACAAATGTGACGATAACGGATTCTAAATATAATTACCATTCTGGCTTTAACATTACAATCCATCATATCCAGAAAGCACAATAGCATTAACAGAAGAATAGACATTCCAGAAATTTATAATATACTAGCGGACGTACCCGGCTTCGCCCGAGGTTTTACACGAGTAAAGGTTTGTCTAACGAACATTTGGTAGAACAATTCTCTATAAACTTATAAAAAAAAAGAGATATATTTTGATAATTTGAAACTCGTAAATTTGAATCTCTCGATAAAGTGAACATTTTTTCCCGGTCCCTGTGTGCCGTGTCATCCTGAATTTTGTCTTTCCTAATTTTCTACATTACAAAATCATTGTTTTATCTAGTGAACATATTTTCCCGGTCCCTTGAAAAATACTCGATAAGTTGAATAGAGTCATGGTCGTGAATCTCTCGATAAAGTGATTATTTTTTCCCGGTCCCTGTGTGCCGTGTCATATCTAGTGAACATATTTTCCCGGTCCCTTGAAAAATACTCGATAAGTTGAATAAAATCATGGTCGTTTATGGAAGATGGACGTAGTTCCCGGAGGTCACCCGCCCCCCGCGCGCCAGGACCTCTTGATCACTCTGATCTCTGATTGGCCGACGGCCGGACGGGGGAGGGGGCTCTTGATCCCTCTGATTGGTCGGTGGGAACTTGGACTGTCCAACCAACTGGCCAGCGGCCGGACGAGGGGGGGGGAGGGGCAGATCTCCGTTGCAAGATGGCGCTGCTTGCGAGTTAAAGCTACAAATCTGCAAATAACTCTAAGGATATTAAAGATATTCAAGAAATTATTTTTCGTAAACCTTTCCGGAGATACACCTAATAATATCCCAAAATTTCACGGCGATTGGATGTATGGTTTTTGAATCCATAGAGGACACACAGACATACACACAGACATTCAATTTTATATATATAGACTGTTCTCCCTGAGCTCACCCCATAACCTCCAAATAAAGAAATCTCGACATAATAAATCCGATAAATACGCGCATTGTAGGACGGCATTGAATCTACACATTCAAATAACTGTATTATTTATATATAGTATATACTAGAGTTAAAAATCACCTCTCCCGTCAAAAAAGACGTCAAAACTAGACGCCATCTATTGACCGTCGCCGCAAACTAACGGCCTCGGGTCGGTGACAAAGCCACAACACCAGCTTTGGGAAACTGAAAAGCGTCCATGGAATCTTGACAAATTAGATCCCGTGTGGATCTCATGGAATAAAGTCCGTCCTAGACTGACGAGGGCCATTAGCCCGAAACCATGGTCTCTAGGTGGACGCTTTTCAGTTTGCCAAAGTTGGTGTTGTGGCTTTGTCACCTACCTGAGACCGCTAGTTTGCGGCGACGGTCAATAGATGGCGTCTGGTTTTGACGTCTATTTTGACGGAAGAGGCGACCGTTGTCTCTTTAGATCAATATCCTCCCGGCAAAATTCCCATCTATAAATATATACATCTTGTATATTTGATTTTAAGCTCTAGTCCTATTGGCAATTTGCAGTAGAGTGTTTCTACTGTAGAAGGTATTTCCTGCCCGATGGCTAGAGATTTATGAAATTAAAGAAAAGTCCAACCAGTCCAACGTGGCAACGTGTGGAAACAGTTCGGACTGACAGATCCTAGGTACTTCCTTCAATGTCACGTCGCCACATTTATAGCCAACTATAGTGTGGTTACACATTATATCAAATTCCCCACAAGTCGCAGAGAGCTTTACTTTCATCACCCTAATGTTATCTATATATATAAAAATGAATGTATGTGTGTGTGTGTGTCTGTCTGTCCTTTATGCCTGACCAAAGCACTCATTGGAACGCCATGAAACTTTGGGAAGTTATTTAGTATAGTACTGGGAAGGTTTCTAGCAAATAAAATTTTTGAAATAACTTTTCGCCTTAAAATAATCAAGATAAATATTCTAATTTATCTGTTATAATTCAACAATCTGCTCTAAATATTATCATGATGATACGATGATTTTGTAATGGAGAAAATTAGGAAAGACAAAATTCAGGATGACACGACAATTTATTTGAGACAAGAATAACGATACAATTCCAAGGCAAAATACTATTCCTTTAACTTCCAATTACCGAGGGAACCAATTAATATTGATTTTATTCAACTTATCGAGTATTTTTCAAGGGACCGGGGGAAAATGTTCACTTTATCGAGAGATTCGTTAGACAAACCTTTACTCGGGTAAAACCCAGGCGAAGCCGGGTACATCCATACAAGAATAATGATACAATTCCAAGGCAAGATACTATTCCTTTAACTTCCAATTACCGAGGGAACCAATTAATATTGATTTTATTCAACTTATCGAGTATTTTTCAAGGGACCGGGAAAAAATGTTCACTTTATCGAGAGATTCGTTAAACAAACCTTTACTCGGGTAAAACCCAGGCGAAGCCGGGTACATCCATACAAGAATAATGATACAATTCCAAGGCAAGATACTATTCCTTTAACTTCCAATTACCGAGGGAACCAATTAATATTGATTTTTTATTCAACTTATCGAGTATTTTTCAAGGGACCGGGAAAAAATGTTCACTTTATCGAGAGATTCGTTGGACAAACCTTTACTCGGGTAAAACCCGGGCGAAGCCGGGTACATCCGCTAGTTTTATAATAAACTTTTCGAATGACCCGGGCTTTACCCGATTAAATGTTTTTATTCAAATACTATTCGTTACAATTATAAATTGGTGCTGTGGATGTCACTCTTGTGAAACGTCCCGCTCATAAAAAAAGTCGGTGGACGAGTAGGTAACACCCTCGATTCCCGACAGTCATGAACCGGGATTGAATCCTGTGTTAACATTTTGTTTAATATGTGAATAACCTTCATATATTATTCACTGTTTCAATTATCATAAACTAGGTTGCTCTTGCTGAGCGGTACCTATTAATGTGATTTTGAACCAGGCAAACGTCCCGCTCCAAACTTTGTGTTTATAGAGAGATGATCTGGCTTTGTCTTCTGCTCGAATGAATGTTTTTTTTCTGTTAGAATTTTGTTCCTGCATACTAAAAATGAACTGGCTTCACCCATAGTCTCTGCTTTTTGAAAATTTTCCCGATATAATTTTATATCTGATAATCAAACATGATTCAGCAATATTGTCTTCACCATTTTGATTCAGGGCGTATGCCATCTCAGAATTCAGTGTTTTACCCACATTACCAATGTTGCTGGTGTTACACTGGTGAGGACCGAGGAGTTACAGGGACTCGGGGACGCCTTGCAGCTCCAGTTGTTTAAGATGGACTCAATCCTCTATATTCAGAGCATCTGGACTGTTCAAAATCGGTGTTCTTGGCCATAACGTACTGGTTTGGAATTGGACACTAGCTGGCGTTTTTGGATTTTACTGCCTGGAAGAGACGAAATGCGGCTTTTAGAGTAGACCACATGTAGAAATCCCTCTGTATATTCTCTGCTAGCCCCAGGAATTTTGTTCATTCAGGACGATCAGGGAAAATATCTTCTAAAAGGTTCTATGGATGCTCCTTTGTACCTTTGTACATGATACACAATGGTCGGACCATGTGATGTCGCAAGCCATTATCTCCCTGTAATCTGCCCATCGCCGGCCTTGGGGACAGCCGGCTGTTCTCTGGGCGGCCGCACCCAGCTGTCACTCCGGTATATCTGCCCGGGACCTGTGGGACAGACATCCACCGTCGCCATGTTTGCTGTTGCTGCTTTCCTTGTAGTCTGCGTGCTGGCCGCCAGCGCCCAGGGTAAGTTGTCTGTTGGTTCTCCAGATCTTGCCCCGATGGCTTACAGCTTGCTTCTATATGAAAAGAAGTTATTGAGAATATATTTTAGTTTGGGCGTTTTTTTTTTCGAAAATTGAAGCTTTATTGTGGAAAATTGGTTAGACATTTAATTTTCAAAGTATTGTCTGTCGCTAGCCTCTACTTTTATCCATCTTTCTGGAAATTGACGGATCCCATCGCGGAAAAAGGCTCTTTGGCCGCTATCCATTCATCGATCCATTTTTTGACTTCATCGTAATTGGAGAAGTGCTGGTCAGCCAGGCCATGTTGCATTGATTGGAAGAGATAATAATCGGAAGGAGCAATGTCTGGGCTATACGGCGGGTGGGGTAGGACTTCCCTTTTGAGCGTTTCTAAGTACGTTTTAACGAGTGCTGCAGCATATGGCTGAGATTTATCATCTTTATTCATCATCTATTATCTCTTTGTCATGTCTATTGGCCTATTACAGCCGTTTTGTTCGCAAATCTCGGCTCAAACGCATCAATTTTCCTCTATAGTCCTCCCCCGTTCAGTTGTAGCAGCTCATACCACTCCTAGCTGGTCCCACCAAATACACAGCATAATCTTGTCGCCATGAATATTCGGCTTGGCCGTCGATGATCAGGCACGGCCAAGGTATCCATACGCTGCCAGACATTTTGGATTGTCATAATAGACCCACATTTCATCCCCAGTTACAATTCGATGCAACCCCCCCCCCCCCCCTTTTTTTTTTTGACGTTGGAGCAGTTGTTCACACGTGAAAAAACGGCGTCTGACGTCTCTTGGCTTCAGTTTATACAGCACCCAATTTCCTACCTTTCGGATCATTCCCATTTCTTTTAAGCTATGAAAAATGGCTGGTTGAGTGACTCCAAGTGTTTTTGCGAGTTCCTTTTGCATTTGTGTTGGATTTTCTCCGAGCCTTGCCTCTAATTATTCACCCTCAAACTTTGGTGGCGCTCCGTGTCTTTCTTCGTCTTCCTAATCAAAATTGCCACTTTTAAACCGTGCAAACCACTTCTGACACGTTCGTTCAGCTAGAGCATGGTCACCATAAACTACGATGACTCTCAGCAGTTTTTCTTCATATTGAAGTAATGAAGTAAAACTCCCCGCAAAAACACATTATTTGGTACAAAAATTGACATTTTAGGAGCAAACAGAAACTAGGTTTTTTATACTTCAAAGAAATGACGGTACTGAAAAAGGAAGCTTTATGATGACGCTTTAAAATAATGATGAAAAATGTTAGTGTTAAGGTGAATTTTACATAAAACTATCTGCAACTCTGGTTCAAATCACATTAATAGGTACCGCTCAGCAAGAGCAACCTAGTTCATGATAATTGAACAATGAATAATATGTGAAGGTTATTCACGTATTAAACAATTTTTAACGCGGGATTCAATCCCAGTTCATGACTGTCGGGAATCGAGCGTGTTACCCTCTCATCCACCGACTTTTTTATCTGCAACTCTGCAGAGTACTATCAGTAATGGTAATCAATGATAAATACAACAACAAGCCTTTTATCGGAGACCTATGCCTTACACAGGATTCTCCCAGGTGCATAATTGCTTAGAAAAGATTAGTTATTTACATACATCGTTCATTGACATACCCATTTACATACGGTCCTCTTTTCTCAATATTTCTTCTCTTACACAGCCCTGTAAAACTTGTACAGAACCTATGTATTAGATTTATTCTTTGTCGTCCTAGACAACAAAGCCTTTAGAGCAAGATGATTTGACCCAATTTTTTCTCACTGATAAATAATAATGTAACAAACACACACACATAAAGCTTTAATAAGACCACAGGTCTTATTCAGATTCACCACAGAAGGAAATAATAGATGGAGCGCCTATACTCCAGGCAGCGCAGCACCCAACAACAACCTCCAGGTCCGACACATGTCCAATGGCCACACGTTCCTTTGTGCATACGTCATGGTTAGCGAATCACTGAACAGGCTAGTGTGGAATCAGCTGCGTTCTAGTCTTCGCTTTCCTCGTCTAAATGGACCACATGTAACAAACAAGAATTGATTATGATAGACTGTAGGCGTGCCAGCTGACGTTAGACAGAGATGGATGGTTGTGTATGAATGCATCAGTATATACTCTAGTAATCTACACAGGGTGTGACAACTGTGGAAACTGTGACAACGGGGTGTCCAGAGTGCTCCAAGCCCAACGAGGAGTACCGCTCCTGTGGCTCAGCATGCCCCGACACCTGTGACAACTACGACCAAGTCCGTCCCTGCACCCTGCAGTGTGTCCGCGGCTGCTTCTGCCAGACCGGCTATGTGAGGAACAGCAACAAGGATTGTGTCAAG